TTGACGGCATTTTGTCACGGGTGGAGATGTATCAGCCCATGAACTGATACATGATCTTGTAGATCTTAGTTTGTAGACAAGCATGATCGCCAACATCAGTTGGCAAAGCACCTGCTATTAGGGATGGTGATGCTAATGGTAAAGCCAGTATGAGGCAACATAGCAACTTTATTTCGTTTATTAAACCAGATTAAAAAGTATACAGTGTATGTTTGTTATTTAAAAAGCACCTGATTGGTTGATTGAGAAATAATGCCGTACTGAAAATGTAAAAAAAAAAAAAAAAAAATCGACTTCTGACCTTCTCTTTCGGCTGAAATGTTGAGACATTTGCTACCCAGAAGAGCTGAATCCGGGGTTTCTGTCCAACAGGACAGATCCTTGTTTTCCTTTTCAACATATGGACTTATTATAATTGGGATAAATGTACCCGATATGGTTAGTTGCGTATCCTCTAAAAGACTTTGCAGAACCAACCACAGCATATGTTCCTAGTTTCGGTTTTAGTGAGCTATTTTACTTTCGGTAGTTTGCCATTTCCTAAGAACGGTCGGTTGTCGATACCTTGTCAAAATACACGCAATGCGGTCTACGATAAAATTGCCAACAGCTGGTATCGAACCGGGTACCTTGGAGTTAGAAGGGTTTTCTCAACGCCTAAGCCACAAACGGCTAAACATAATATTCATATAGCGCACCCTGCTGTCATTGTCGTTAAAAGAAGAACTATTACAGGAAATATGGATCAAAAGTATTTATTCTAATATTCTCCCGCTCCCTAGCCCTCTCTAAAGAGAGGAACGGAAGGGAAGGTCGAAAATGCGATAGAATCTGCTCAGAACATACTCAGTTTGAGAGAAGTCATAAGTTACAAACTGACCCATGCGGCTTAGGGCAAAGAAAAGTCACGTTGTGGTTAAAAGACTCGGCCAAAGCGCGTAGAGACATGGTCATCATCATCATCATCATACCCACTTTTGCCGTTAAGCGACGTGAGGAGGAATAATTTGCTATCCAGTGCCGTCGTGTGTGTAATGTGAGCGCTGTTTGAATTACGCTTTTTAGACATGTTAACACAGCAAATCAGGGACTTTGAAAATGAAATTTGGGTCCAAAAAAGCAGCCCAGCAGTCGCAGCAAAGGACATTAAAAACTGCCTTTTATAAACCGAAAACGTCTTAATATCGGCAACGAGCGCGTCTTGCAAAGAAAACTCACATGGGGTGAAATCTGATACACGGCCCAGATGCATCTGAGCTTTGTCATTCGGATTAGTTCAACGTTAGTCTCCCCAAAAAGAGTAGGCAACTTTTCATTCACAAGTTTGTTGGGCTGGTCGACTTTGCTGAAGGTTACGGATGTGTACCGCTGTCTTGTTAGTTTTCTTCGATTTCTTGCATTTACGTTTTTATTCCGAGAAAGAGCATGCCTGTGACAAAGGTTGCAGCACTCTCTAGGAAGGTTGTGTCAGACCCAGTTTCTCCATGTTTTTAGGTGTGTTAAAGGCACTGGCGTGCTGAAATATACAATACGCGATGTCAACGGCATTGCTAAACACTACGGTAAGCATGTGCGATTTTTACGGGGCTCAGGAACTACCAACCAGAAGTGAGCTAGTGTGTATATGGACGGGGTCTGGGAAGACTAACATCCAACTAACCGTCATTCTTTTTGTTTACGATGTGTTACACCCAGGCGCTAACATGGCCAAACTGCGTGCCACTAGCGACCCTACATGTCCATTATGCAAAGCTAAGCAGACGCTAGAGTACGTATTCTCAGTGTGCAGAAAAGCCCTAGGTCAGGAACTATACACAGAAGCCACAATAAGGTCCTGAAAGAGCTGGCGGACGTTGTGGCCAAAGCGAGGATGAGGGCCAACTCGAAGACCAGTCCTAATTACCACCCCTTCCCCCCCCCCCCCTGACCTGCTTATGCGCTTTCCCAAGGCTGGGCAGATTTCTAGAGATACTTTCAAGAAAGTCACATACGTTCCTCCAATACTCGACTGTGCGGTTGACCTGCATGGTTTTGAAAAATACTCCGAAGCAATCCGAAAGATTTGCCTGAGATAAGACATGGTCTTGCACTTTGCTGCAGAACGCGGCTTTTCCTGGTAAAGCCTAGTGTGCCGTACGAGTCGCGGATGGAGGAGAACCACCTATACAAGCTCAGAAAATGTAGTGAACCGGTGGCCAGTCTGAGGAGCGACAAGGGTTGCGCAGTAAAACTCTTCGCCGCCGAGATAGGCCCAAGATATCTAATCTTCACTTCCACACATAATGTTTTTAGCGTGCCAGGAAAGGAGTGAAAACGTGCACTAAATTAACTGGATGAAGCTGCGAAAGAGCTTCAAGTTGGCTGTGAACACAGCGGAACGTCGTGGGGGATGGGCCTCGGTAGACGGATCCGAGCTCCTAGTGGATAAATACTTTTAAATCCCTATAGACAAAGTTTCCCGATTAATGTCTGCCTATGTCCCTTTTCAAATTGCCCAAGTTCATCTTCTGTCCGATGAACCATCCGTCCACTTGTCACTCTGGTCATGTATGTAGGGGCTTAATTTGCTACGGCAGCGACAATATATAACACCAAATCTCAATAACTGTTGCGAAGCCACTATTTCGTCTTGTCTAATTGTCCGATAAGCGCAGCAGGAAATTTCCGTGGTCTGGCGTAATGGTCCAGGCCGGCCCACCCTCTGAGATTGTCTAGGAGGATTATAGGCAGAAACACATGTCGACGAGGGACACTACTACTGAGGATTAGTAGAACTCCTGCTGTCCATTCTCCAGCTGTGGAGTTATTATTGTTATTATTATTATTATTATTATTATTATTTTATTATTATTATTATTATTATTATTATACAATATAATGTAAAAAGGGTTACACATTTTTTTTTAAAGTTAAAGGGCCTTTTCCCACACGCATTGGGCATATAGGGCTCGATTTATATTTTAAAGACCAATCCGCACTTGGTGAGGGATGTGGTCATGCCGGCCATCTTTAATTCCCATGACTTTATACCTGATACATATTTAAGACTTGCTAGACCCTGGAGCCAAGGTCATTTTTGTTTTGAAAAAATGTAAGTCTGGGTCCATCTGAATCTGAACTCACGACCTTCGGATCCGCCGGCGAGGGTCTAACTGCTACACCACGGCGCTTTCCATACATAATTTGTATTTGAGGTGATCATGTATTCGACCAGGTGGTCATCCATGAGCAAACCTCATACTTATACAATGACTTAGAAGTGAAGACAGCTGAAGTAAAGTCAACATTGATTCTGTACACCGCTGTCCGTCATAAACATGGTGGAAGGAAAGCAGTAATAAGAACCACAAATAGACAAAAGCAACAGCCATGCACTGGAGTAACAGAAGATATGGCAGTATATATATGTGTGACTGGTAATAATGATTGCAGTTGTGACCTTGCTGATGTTGAAAACGCTGACGATAGCAGTGATGTTGATGACGATGCTTTTACTAAAGACGATAATGATGATGAAGGTGATGATAAAAATGATACCTTCCTCTTAGCTCTTAGCAGTGAATATATTTATCTTAGGGGGTGATCGAATTTCCTCATAGCAAGTACGTGAGTTTGTGTTTTATGAAGATAAAATGTAGAATATATTCAATATACTAAGCTGTGTTGACCACAGTTTGATTGGAACGGCAGCTAACCCTAGAACTAACAACAGCGATGACTGTCCTACCTTTGGAGAAAAACCAGACAGTCGAACCAGGAGAGGAACACGGCGATAGCTCCTGCCTCCCACTGCCAGTGCAGAGACACGTTGAACAGAAACGGAACAACAAACATTAGGGATGTTATATACAGAACCCACTCCAACGCATTATTAGTGTCTCGAAAATAACGAACTTTCTGCAACAGAAAAATGTTAATGATGCAATCACACATACGTAAATAAAACTAATATACATAACATACGGTATCCTAACTAATATACATAACACAACAGTATCCTAACTGCACACATTTTAAATACTGCTTACCGATCTACAAATCGACATCATAGCACACTGGCCATACCCATAACTGCTCTGTCTTCAGCAGCAAATGTCTCAAGGTGTAGATGTTAACGGTTTTGATAGTTCTCTTCCTCTAATACGCCCTTCCTTGCCAGATCCACACCTAATTCCTCGGTTGCGCATTCTTACAGATATTATTTCCTCTAACCGTGTGTCTTCTGTCAGCATTTGTTCATAAATGTTCGTCAGAATGTTTCATTTCTCTAGCACCAGTGTTCCTCTAGCTATTGCTTTTGTAACCAGACAATCCATGCTATGATTTCTTCACATTCCTGGGCCTCCCAAACAGTATATCCATCGTTTGACCTGCTGATGTTTATTATTTACTGACGCTACATCTGTCTATTTTGAACCTTCCTCAGTACCCTCTAAGAGTTTATAAACAGTCTGTTAGCAATCACTCTGCAGCCGCAGAAAGAGTTTCCTTCTGATTTAACAATATTCGGATTAAAAATCGCCTTTCTGTGAAGATTTTCACAATAGATGCATTGACGAGATCACAGTTTTATCTCCATGACAATGCACCAATTGGAAGCCACTATAAAGCTTTATAACATTCACAGCGGGTGGGGGGGGGGGGGGGGACATTGAAGTATGGGCAAAGAATGTAAATGCCGATCATGCTTGAAGTAAGCCAGTTATGTGAGTGTCTATATACATGCCCTTGTCCCCCCCCCTCTCTCTCTCTCTCTCTCTCTCTCTCTCTCTCTCTCTCTATTTAAAGGTCTTTTAACGAGTTATTTCAATTACACAAGTGTGATAACTTTTGGTATGATGTGTTACCCTTTCAAAAAATAATTAGTACTATTCCCCCCCCCCCCCCCGCCCCCCAACATTTTTCGACAACCCTGCTCTGAACACAAGATCAAATGTTTGACTAAGCACTATTCAGCTCTCCATAAAGTTCATATGCAACACAAGCACCTTTAGGCGTGC